GTAGACCGGTATGGACCGGTAGACCGGTATGGACCGGTAGACCGGTACGGACCGGTAGACCGGTATGGACCGGCAGACCGGTATGGACCGGTAGACCGGCCGGTCCGGTATACCGGCCGGTCCGGTCCGGTCTACCTTTCTCTAGACCCGCACCGGTACCGGTCTGAAAAAAAGTGGACCGGTTCCATCTCTGATATGTATAGCTCTTTTCCATCCCAGCACTTCGGAAAATAAATATGTACACCATTAATGCGAGAACTGCGTGATTTAAAAGCGGAAAATAGTTAGAAATTGTTCGTCTAAACCGGAGACACTATCACTAAACATTACAATCTATTAGGTTTTTCCCACTTACCTCTCACCTGCTAATCAGCCAAATTTAGTTTCTTTCCGTATACAAATATTTTTTTTTCATCACGAGAGCATGGCTTTATATACGCGAAGAACAAATAATTACTGGGAATAAACCCAAAAGAAACAGTTTATGTCATCATCCAATAAAAGAATTGATTTCTGCTAGGTGTCACTATAATACAAAACGATGGACAAAAACTTTACGCGGTCTATTATTATTCAGACCCTCCTATCGGCTCTTCTATCCAATTATTTTATTAATTATCTTTATTTTCTCTACAATCTGTTAATCATATGCCTAATTGGGAATATTTGATGTGAGTGTGGGTGTGGGTGTGAAGAAAATGTACACCCAAATCCACCACACCCTTCTTTGAAAATAAAAGATAGATGAAGAAGATTTCAGTTTTTGACAATCATTTTACATCTTACCTTATTCTTTGAGAAAGAAAAAATTGAACAAATATCAATCGAAATAATGTGATAGTAAGAAAATCATGCTCTGACTCTTAGTTGGCAGATTTTTATAGACATAAACTAACGTGGCTTTTTTTATCGAATAGTTTTTGTACACTGTTAACTGTCATACCGTTAAATCTACGTTTACGTCTACGTTCTCTTTTTTTTTCAATGTTTCTTTCATTCATTTAATCAGTAGTGTGTAATGACTGATATGACAGAACAATCTATGAAAAAGCCTTTTTCTCTTCTTTTCTTTTTCAATAATGTCAATAGAATATGTCAGATGCATTTATTCACGAAGCATGTTTCTCTTCACAATAGAGGGTGTGGGTGTGGGTGTGGGTATTGGTGTGGGTATGATTAGGTTTTTAGATGAGAAAATATCGAAAATAACATTGAAATCCACACTCACACCCACACCGTATGAATAACACTATAGTGTTAGTTCGATTCCAATATGAGGACCGCAATACCTGAAAACAATTTTGTAAAACTTTTACATATACAAATATGGGCTAAAAAAGAAGTATGTTGATACCAGTTACAGAAAAGGAGTTACAAAAAAAGTAGTTATTCATCAAAAAGATATGGTAAAAACTATACTTACCAATGATAGAGTATCCGAAAGCGAAATTCTCAACTTCTTCGAGTGTTCTCGACGTCAGATGAATCGTATCTTTCTGGAATGATTTTGCAGTTTTGTTGTGTAACATATTGATACTAGCTACTTATCTGATCTTCTTCCTAGCATGCTTCTTTTCTTAACTTTATTAACTGCGCATTACACTGTGAGGAGCTACGCATATCAACTACAAAACATTCTAGAAAGGAAGAGAGAAAAGAAGAAGAAGGTCTGATAAGAATATATACTAGACTAAAAACGAATATAAGTACTGTCTTCTAGTAATAGTTTTGGATTTTCATTTTTTTTTTAAACAATAAGGACGTGAGTACTGGTGTGACTGTGACTATCGGCTGTGGCTTTCGGTATGGCTGCATGTGTGGATGTGGCTGTCAGTGGGCGTGTGGATGTTTGAGTGTTCGTGTAAGTGTGGATGTATGTGTTGACTTGGGTACTAGTGGTTATCTCGAAAATTCCTCCCATACAGCTACTCACACTTCAACCAATACGCACACGCTCACTCTCACTAAGTGTCACTATGGATATGACTGTGAATGTGGGTCTGGACGTGTGGGTGTCGATATGCATGTGGCTGAGTGTGAGGGTGTGGTTGTGAGTTTAAGTTTGGAAAAGAATGCTACATTCTACACAAGTCCACATCCACTCACACCCCACACCCACATCTACATCCACCCACATCCACCCACACACTCACACCCACCCACATCCCACATCTACATCCAACCACATCCACCCACACACTCACACCCTCCCACACCCCCCCCCCCCCCACACACCCTCCCACACCCACACCCACACTCACGCCCACACCCACCCATTCCCACACCCTCCCACACTCACATCCTCAAGTGATAGAGAAAATGACGCTCTATTTTTCTATGCTATTTGATCAATATTCAACTAGCAACCTAATAATAAAACTTTGATAAAAAGTGTTCTGATGTAAAACTCCCTATCAAGTGAATAATGAAAAAATGGTCATTAAAATGCATAACTATCCGTAGTCGGACCATTTCCACCATTAAAATGCACATTTTTCAGTGCATAATGGAAGAATATTCATTAAAATGCATTTTGATGCAGAAAAAATTATGTCGACCATTTTTATGAGTAGACTCTATTGTTTTAAGTTTCAAGCTAATCCAGAAACTATGTTGAGTTTCTAAAAATTATATGATGACATTAGTATCTAGTTATAAACGTTTATTTTTTATCATAAAAGGAGTTCAAGAACATTCTCTTAAATTCGGATATCGGCAAAAAACGAAAGCTTTTGATGCTGTTGGATCATCATTGGATATCGGTCGAAAAGCAAGTTTTTGCAAAATTTGAGATGGTTGAATGATAGTCGTAGAATCAGGTACAACTACACCTTTTAATATATTATTACATCTAAAATTTCTTCCTTGGATGTCGACAGTGTCAGCTGTTGATATAAGCTTTACTTTGTTTAAGAATAGATAGATTTCATTTTTATCAATGAAATGAATGATAAATAATATGAATCCGATGGAATTGTAATTCTTTTTTGTTTGATACAAAATACAAGCATCATTAGAATGTCGAGGTACTGTAAAATCATCAGCACTAAATCTTAAACGATCAAGAAATAATGTTTTATAAAATAAAACATTAGATGACGATGAATTTGGAAATTTCTGAAAGAAATTAGATGGTGGTGGTGTGATTTTTTGATGTAGCTTTATATTAGGTAAAGCATCTTCATGTTTAAAAATAATTTGACGTGAAGAAAACATTCCACTGACATATTCTTTTGCTATTGTTGAAAATGATGTGGAAGAAACATGAATTGATGATTGACGACATAAGTCGATATTTTTAATCAATTCACGTAGTGGTGCAAATCCACCATGTATTGTTCGAGCAAATGAGGCTAATAACATGCTCAAAAATTATAATATGAAGAAAAGATTAAAACGAACCCGTCGTAGATTCGAAAGAAAAGGTAGAGTAATTAAACATTGGTCCGTAGTCTCGAACACATGAATGAAAATGACGCACTGAATGAACCACTGAAACAACGTGTCTTTCCTACATTAAGAAAAATACTTAAAGAAACAAAATGAAGTGTGTTACACACGGTGTAAAGCGATGCGAATTTTTCATTGAAATATCTTGCTAAATATTTTATATCTTGATGGGAATTTTCAGATAGATTTTGTTCTTCCACTAGATGTGCTATAAAAGCTAATACTTTAAGATGAATAAAACGTTCTTGATCAAGAAAATTTTCAAATGCTCTATATAAGATTTAAAAGTGAAGTATATTTGAAAAGATATGAAACTTACGAATATCCAAATAGCAAAATCATTCGCAACTCGTTCGCTTTGAATTTTTTAAATAGATGAATATCTCTTGGCTGTCTATAAGTTGTCGAAGGATACGAAATTGAATTGACAATTTCAGCAAGATTATCTATTTGCTTGTGTATACTCATAGCAGCTGATATACCTTCGATAATAGATCGTTTCGATAAGAATAATTTCAACATTTTTCCCTAGATATAAAATAGTAATAATTTTTAAAGAAATGACAAAAAAGAGTCTACCATAGCTCCTAAATACAGATTATGAAGTGTATCACAAAGAAACGAAGTGTAAATATTGAAATATTTTAATTGTCGTAAAAGACATGGTCCTTTAACACCTTGTAAATATTCTTTTGCTGCTGCTTTTGAAATCTTAGTTGAATTAGTTAATTTGTAATCCTAAATACATGCTTTTAAAAGTAGCCAAGAATAAGATCTAACTTACATTATTAATAAATTCAATAGCATCATCATAGGTTTTGTTCGATCGTAATATGACTTTTTCATTTGGATCATACACAAATGAACGAATAATTGTATTTCGTACTTCTATCGATTTACCTGGAATTAGTAAAAGTTCAATGAGAAGAATGAATTGAATGGGACAATAAAATCATATCTGATTAGATAAAAAATTGCAAAAAATATTTGTCATTAGCTGTTCTCTTTCATATGAAAAATTTACAAGCAGAGTGTTTGAAGGTGCATCAAATAAATGATCTCTTTTTCAAATTGGTATATAATATTACCTCTCATAGTACAATAAATGCATCCAAAAAAACCGGTACATTCGACATGGTTAAGTACAAGTGACGTTGCTGGTTTATCGCAGACACAACCAATTAAAAATATTCGGATAAGTTGTTCTAAATTATTCGAATCATCTGATGTAAGAAGGACAGAAATTCCTTCTTCCAATCTATGAAGTTCTTTTACAAGATCTTCCATAATCGATGACATTGCATCTTTTTTTGGTTTTGTAGCTCCTGTGGAAATCATTCCGATTATCGTGTTTTCTGGAAGAAATCTTATTACTCTGGGTAGTTCATTAACCACAAAGGTTGTACACCATATTGACGTAGAAATTGCTTTAACTAAACCACCATCGGAATTCATTAACAATGTAATGAATGGTTCTGATTCTTTTCGAAGTAATTTTTTATAAAATTGTCCATCAGTTATATCCGAGATGGACCCATCATTAAATTTTGAAAATACAATTTGATTTCTTTCGAGAATTGCTCGTAATTGTGGTTCAAGAGCAAATGTGTA